TTTGGAGGTGCCTAGGGGCAAAAGACCATGTTAGGCATTTCACATAGAATTGGATAGATATCCATTCTAAATGAACCATGGATTAATGCATTGTGAAGATATGGTGTACCCTAGTTCCAAGTCAACACCCAGGGTCGACCCTAAAGCCAAGTAATCCTATAAGGACTCTTCTTGAATTCTTTTATAATGATCTTACCTACTAAATGCTAGAGGTTAAGATCAATATGTGGAATTTCAAGTTGAGTAAAAAGAAGAGTTTTGAATTTCTAATGGTGGGGTACCTCTTCTAATTTTCTAAGACTAGTCAATAGAAAAGTCCTATGACTAGACCTAGGCTACTAAAGAAGTTTTCTAGACCTCAACCAAAAATGAGGTCAACAGGCGATGATCAATGGAGGTCAACGGTGTTCCACGGTGGTTGACGGCGATCAATGACGGTCAGGTGACGGTCGACAGTAGTTGATGGTGGTTGGAGTGATGTTGGACTTCAACTCCTCAAAACTTAAAGGTATTTTTCAGGCTTCAAGCTCTCCTCCTCCTCATGAGAAAGGTGAAGCTCTATTTATAGTGTTCCGAGTACCTTTAATGCTGGAATATAAACCACTTTGATCGGATGGTTCAGAGTGCTTCTTTCGATCAAAAGAAGTTTGATGGATATTTGAGTGCCTTAACGATGTCAGAATTGAGCAATCTCGAGCTCGTTGGATTTGCCTTGTCGAGACACTTGATTTGACTTTAGGCTTGTTGGATTCAACATTCATTTGACCGTCAAAATATGTCCGGAAAACTTTTAAGAGTGGTTTAATGACTTTATCTGAGCTTGATTTGACGCGAATTGAATTAATTTGGATATCATTAAGTTTGTCTCATCGAGTTGATCAATTTAACTATAAGTTTGTTGAAACAGAACTCTAGATGATTTTTTATCAAGGTTTGAACATTTCTTGCTCAAAAGATCATCTCGAGCTTCTTGTCATGCCTCGAGATTCTTGCTGGACGATGAGAATTTGATGATGACATATCATAAATAGGTAAGAGTTATGCGCTAATCATATAGATCTTTTCGAATTTAAAAAATTTTAATTGATATTATTTTTTTTAATTACTCAAATTATCTTTAATAATGTTTATAAAAAAAATTATATACATACATAGATATATAGTATTAACCAAGAAATATTTAAAAAAAAAATGATGGCAAACAGGCCAAGTAAACTATGTAATCTTTTGTTTAATAAGTCACAATTTTAAGGAAATAAGAGTAGAGTAAATTTTGATTTTAACGGTTTTAGGGCCAACAACGGCAGTGGCCTACGGGTGATTGACGACGATTAGTGATCGGCGGTGTGGGCTGTGGTCGGCTGACAACTATCGGTCGGCAAAAACGACAGCTGCACTGGGCGTGCAACGGGCGACTGACAACAACAATATTATCCGACAATTGGTCAACAATAGCGACACTTTATATTAAGCATTATTTTAAATTCACTCAAATGTATCGAATTTCAAATTTGGGGAAAATGAACTAAGAGCTGAATTTCAAACATGATACTATTTTACATTGAATTTTAATTTTTTCCGAACAAATGGCTTGTTTTTAAAATCTTAGGGATTTGGAATACAATAAACTAACAATTCTGCCTATCAAACAACCCCTTAATAAATTCCCCCTATAATATAATTTAATAAATCCAGTATTTAAGATAAAATGGAAAAAAAAGTATGAACAAATTGAACTTACTAAATCTTAGATTTAAAATTGTTTTTTTCTAAACTTAAAATTTAAATAAAATCATATTTAAATCCATTAATATCAAACGGTTTGGGATGGGGTATTATGGCGCTGGAGATCGGAACAGGGAATCTCCCAAAGCTTTCATCCATGTGTCGCAGCCTAGACCTCCATGACCGACATGCAGATCCTTCATTCCTTCTTTCTCTTCACTCCCATCACTCTCTCTTCAGCTTCTACACTCCTGTTCTTATCCTCTTTCGCCCACCCCCTGAACACATACCTGCATCTCCGTATTTCTCTGTTGTTTACAGAGCTGCGAGTTAATGGATTTGATGAACTATTTCATCAACCTCGTGGCGCCGCCGGCAAGCATGTTGATGATGGCATTTGCGTGGCCGACGCTCGCCGTGCTCCGCGCAGCAGAGTGGATTTACCGCACTATAAATAGCGAGAACATGGAGGGCAAAGTGGTCGTTATCACCGGAGCCTCTTCAGCCATGGGAGAGGTGAATTACTATGTGAAAATTTTCTTTTATTTTTATATACTTATTCTAATATCTATGATTTCAATGAATTATAACAAATTAAAGATTGAGAAAAAGTGCTATAAATCTATGCACTAGATTCACGATCAAGCATATAACTTGAGGAAGACTCTGAATAAAAAAACTGTTTGGTAAGATTTAACCTGAATGATGACTAGATCTTGCAACAAAGAGTCCCTTAATTTTAGCTGCATGAGCTCCAAATTCATCTTGCATATTTTGGAGAAAAAAATGCCAGTTTGCTACGTAGCTTCCCGCTATAACTAATTGGTTACCAGAAAGTATTTTACTTCATATATTTTCTCAATAATGTACCAATTTCTTTGCTTCTAGCCGTGCCTCGATTTCTAAGCACAGAAAGTATAAGCTAACCCATCGCATGCTGATGATTTTTTATGCGAGATGACATTTAAGTGTCTATATTTTCCCATATAACTGAAGCAATAAAAACTGAAAGCTTATTTGTTGAAACTATTTTGTAGTTCTGTGCATGTGTTATTGGTTTATGTATTACAATGAACTTCTACGGGTCGTTTATAGAATGATGGTTGGTTTTGTAGGACTAACTTGTCTTGTAGAACTAACTGATTTTTGGCTTGAAGTTAATCTTACTATTGCTATGAGTAAACTAACTGAAAATTATAGATCTAATCGAGTAGATAAATGCCTTTTACTTCAACTTATCATCATGGTTCCAAGAATCATACTCGATTTAGACTTGATATCATATTGCATGGATTTCCAACTTATTTGTCAAAATGTTCTAATTTTGTATTTTAAAGATTGTTTCATGATGAAGAGGCTTATATTTACTAACAGTATTTAGTTATATTATTTATCGCCACTTAGATTATCTTCGTACTCGGACAATAAAATGGAGGAAATTTTTTATGTGAGGAATTTGGAAGGGAAAAAACGTGGACCAAGACTAGTTGCAATAATTCTTTGTTTTGTTGAAAAAGAGTTCAAGCCGGGTCACTTTTTAGCAATTCGAGGGACGTCAGTCGAAAACATCTATTGGTTTGTTAGAGAAGATGATGTTGATAGTGCCAAAGTTGGTCCTCTTATGCATCAATTTTAAATATTTATGGTAGGAGCAGATGACAGTAGGACCAAGACCCCGAATACTGCAAATTGCTGCGTCTTTAGGAATTGTACAAATTGCTTCTCATTGCTTGTTATTACATGCATCACATTCAACGCCATTATTGTAGACGATGAGACGTGGGATTATTGGGCTTAATCATTTATCTGATGGGTGAAAATATATTGTGGTAGAAGCACAAAGTAGTGATCCCTATTCCACAAACTTGAGCTTTTACTTTGATAATAATTTGATCATTGATGTATCAAGCCTGTTTTACCATTTTTAGTTTCGTATTTCTTGTTGCCAAGGCTTAATGCATAATACACTGGATGTAAAAAAATTATCTTTGATGGCATGAAAATTTTCAAACGTCGGAGAACCAAAATGCGAGGTCTATGTTAAGGCAATGGGGATTTGTAAAGACACTTATTTGTCATTGGAATAGTTCAGGTTAGGATTTAGTATACTGCTATGATGTTTTTTTTTTTTTGGTTCGGGAAATGAGCAGATTGGTTCTTTTTTGCTTAATGTTTCAATGTATTGTTTTACATTTACCACAAGAAGAATTTTGAGGATGCAAATTAAGGACTTTAGGTATGTTAAATTTTTATGATGTTTACTAGAAACACAATTGTTTATTTTGATAAATTTAATTTTGTATGCTTCTATATGAATGGCTTTGAGGAATATATTATGATTATGTAAAGTAGTATATATTTTATGACAATCTAGGTAGTGCAGTTTGTTACCCACTTGATCCTGATTAACATAAGTTAATTTGAGTGTTGGTAAATATTCTATATCACTAAATTTCTCTCGTCATGTCTTATGCTTGCAAAGGAATCAATATGGGACTTCATACAAATTGCTTGTCAACTGGCTGCATTGTGTCAATGCATTTTGTATACTATTTTTGGGCTTTAGAAAAAAAGGGACATTTACATACTTACCATCCAATTCTTATGTGTTAATATTTCAACCACCCAAACTTCAATTTTTACATACAGACCACCAGATTCTTATGTTTTCAGCACAGATTGGGTGGTTTGTTGGTAAAAGTTGAAGTTTAGCTGGTAGATATGTTATTACATAGGAATTGGGTGGTGGGTATGTAAATCTCTCCAGAAAAAAAAGGTTCAAAGTGAAATAATAGTGAGAAATTTGGTGTCTCAGAGTATTTGAAATAGAAAGATGATGAAGATAGAGAATTGCATTGATGCTGAGTGGATGTAGTTTTATTATATCGAACATTAGTTTTTTGAGCATTGAAACTTTGGCGTGTTGCCATGGCCTAAAGCTTCTTATGGAAGCAGAGTGTGGAATCAAAGTGGGTAAAGACGGGCTTAATATTTTGGCGGCTAAACCTATTTTCAACTCATTATTTTAAGTTCACGTTTTAAGACAATTACATAATATTTTGAAATTAACTTATTTTTTTTTATCCAATATAAACTATACCTAAACAAGAATCCTTAACAATATCCTTCTCTCACCAGAAAACTCTCCACATCGGCCCCCTTTGCTTCCTCTAAACCAAAAAGTTTTCAACATCAACATGACAGATCAAGAGTCTACCAAACCACATGGAGATTTCATAGAGTCACATGCTTCTTGAGACTTCTATGCTGGTTTGAAAATAAATTGTTTAATTGCGTCTTTTCTAATTTGCTTTTTCCTTAATACCTTTTCTATGCTGCTATTCTAATCAAGTTTTGGATTTTATTTGTTCACAACTTTCAACCAAAAGATCTGCGGTAGAGTATAAACGCCTAAATGAACACACCTAAAAAGCTTCCTTGGTGTAGTTGATTGTTGTTTACAAACAATAATGAGCTAAGATTGAGCCAACCGAAAGTGGACTTGTTAGCTCTTGATACGACAAGTTTAAAAAAATATTAATGTAAAGTATACATAAAAGATATTAGAATTTTGTAGTTTTAGCACAAAGTTTAAAATATTAAAAAATTATCTATCACATTCATATACAACAACAACAACAACAACAACAACAACAACAACAAAACCTTAATCCAACTACGTGGGGTCGGCTACATGAATCCTTTTTCTCCATTGCGTCCTATTTAGTTTCATGTTTTCATATATGAAGTGATTTTTTCTTATTTTTATTCTATACTTTTTTATCATTTTATTATAAAAATTGCTTCAGTTATAATTGTTTTCTTTTTCTCATAATAAATGAGTTGGCTAGTGAGTTAACTAGAACTTGCAGAATTAAGCTCAAGCTCGAGCTTGAGCTTGGCTTGATCATTTAATCTAGCTTAAGTTCAAGCTAACGGTGACTCGAGTTCGGCTCAACTCATTTACACTCCTACTAATGCTGATAATTCTGTACTGGTTGTATTCAAACCAGAAATAGTCCATGATTAAAATAAGGGATCAAAGAAGATTAGGAACTGAAATCATATAAAAAAAATTTAGAGTAATTACAGAAACATAGGAAACCAGGTTTTGTTTCAACATGGTTTTTTGCCAAACAGTTTGTAAGGATCTTTTCTTGCCTAATTTTTTCACCTTCTTAAACTATTTATATTGCAGTTTTTTCATTACAGTCTATTGTTTCTTTTATCCCATGAACACTAAAATCACTATTATTGCAGAAAATAACTTACCAATATGCTATAAAAAAGGCAAATTTGGTGCTGGTTGCAAAACGAGAGCAAAGGCTATGGGGGATTAGAGAAAATGCCAGACTCTTGGGTGCAAATCTTGTTGTTGTAATTGCTGCTGATGTAGTCAAGGATGAGGAATGCAGACGATTCATCAACGACACTATAAATTACTTTGGTCGGCGTGAGTTCTCTTTACAATGCTTATATTTGCGCATTATAAGGATGTGGTACTTCTAAGTAGGGCTGTAAACGAGCCGAGCTTGAGCGAGCTCAGGCTGGGCTCGTGTTCGAAATCGGCTCGTAAACAGTGTGTTCGTGTTCGACTCGATTTAAATATTTGTGTTCGGCTCGAAATTGACTCATTAAAATTAAATTGAGAAAAATAAATGTAACGTGTGAGATTTAAACCTGGACCAAATATATACAAAAGAAGACACTAACCACATTGTTACATGAGATGTTACGATTTAAATTAGACATAAATATATATAATATATTATTATATAAATAATATATGTAATATATTGTTATATAAATAGTTATATAAATTTTTTATTTTGAGCTAAAACGAGTCGAACACGAGTGAACGAAGAGCTGTTCGTGTTCGGCTCGTTTATAATTCGAGCTTTAAAAATTTTGTTCATGTTCGGCTCGTTTACTTAACGAACGAGCCGAACACGAGCTACTTAACGAGCCGAACACGAGCTGTTCGCGAACAACGAGCTTTTTTGACAGCCCTGCTTCTAAGCCTTATTTGGTTTGGAAAAAGTGAAAAAGAAGGAGTTTAATTGAAACTAGTATTAATCTAAATTTTTGGTCAATTAGGACTGGATTGAGAAGTGCTTCTTTTTTCTTTTTATTTGTTCAGTTGATGAAAACCTGAGTTTTCGAGGTGGGAACATGCAAGTCATAACAAGCCTTTTGTTCAAATTTTTTACTAAGGTTGGTTAGGTAATTGTGATTGGAAAAAAGGCAATTTTTCCTTTGAGAAATCCAACTAGCTATTAGTTGCTGGAATCAAATGTCAAATGCATGCAATTATGAACTAAACTGTATTTGAATTCCCTCCAATTCCTTAGAACCAAGCATAGCCTTATTGCTCTTTTGATATCACCACTTGATAACTAGAAGTTCATGACCTTTTGTTTCTAAGATGTTAACATTAATTTTCGTAATAACAGCTTATTGTGATTTATTCTTAAGTCTATCTTACATGATTGTAGAAGTATACTCATTACTCTTGAATTTTTATATTTTTTTTAGGTAGCTTTTATAAAGGTACAAATTCCACAATTAGATCTAATATGATACGTGACTTCGAGTGTTGGGCAATAAAGAAGTAATCGACATAAAAGAGATTGATAAGCTGGATGTGCGACAAAACTCCTAAAGATAAACTTAGGAATAATAATAATGCGAGAGGTATTTTTTGTGTGATGTTAGTTGAAAACATAATTATATATTTTTTGGATATACAATGAAATATAAAAGTATACTCATTAGATAAGCAAATAAAAATTAAAAATTAAGGATTAAGAAAGAAAATAGTAGACTAAGATAGTTGTGATTTGTTCCAAATAGTTTGTGAAGAATGTGCTTATTAACATGCACTGCAAAAATGAATGGGAAATGAGCAATCTTAAGATTAACCCTAAATAATTTGTATAAATTTTATGATGTTGATGCAATTGTTAAAAGCATTCATTTTTTTCTTATCCAATAGAATCATCTAATGCTTTTTCACTGAAATTTTTGTATTATATTTTAATATTAATATTTTTTTTACAAAATTTGGATAATATAAATATAATGCTTGTTGGAGGCTCATGGAGTTTGATATTATAGTTTACTCGGTTTTTACTAGTGTTTTTGTAACTACCTTGTGGATCCAATTTTAGGGTACATTAGATAAAAATTAAAGGAGAAGCACCCTTTTTCTAGTGGGTTCATAGGTTGGAGTCTCCAAAAAAAAAAAAAGAATAGGTTTATGTTTTTTAAAAATTACTTTAGGGTATATTTTGTGGAATATCATATGAGAAAAAATATTATTTAAACCATCATCCCCTCTGTGTAACCCAAGGAAAATACAATGACATCTTCGGTTTTTATAATATAGGACTAATATTGAAACGTTGCAAAGTCTATTTAAGTTTTTCGTATGACATTTTCATTAATTCTTCCATTTTTTTTTTCATTTTTAACGGTGCTTTTAATGTTCTAAAAGGTTAAGTTCATAAACTTTTTGACAGTGGATCATCTTGTTAACACCACCAACTTGGGACACTCCTTTTACTTTGAGGATGCCCTTGATACTTCAATGTTCCCACATTTATTGGTATAGTTTTCCTACACAAGTCAATATTTATATAACGACCTTATACCTTTTTTTTTATGCTACAATTTTTTGGAAGTAGCATGACCTCATAGGTTATTTTGATTTTCTTTGGGATCAATTTTATTTTTTATTTTTATTTTTAAATTGTATTTTTTTATAAGTTTTTATTTTTTATTTCTAAAAACAATGGATGAGTTTTTAAAAACACTCAAAATAAATTTTAAGTGTTTTGAGCGTTTTTGAAAATAATTCAAATAAGCAAATATGTTTTGTTTCAAATTAGAACATAAACAAAACAAAATAAAACAAAGAGTAGATAATAAAAAACAAAAGTGATCCCAAACGGCTCCTTAGTTTACACATTTCACAAATGCTCTCTTATGATTATGATATTGTTAAAGTGTGATTTTGCTTCAGGATATAAACTTTTGGGGCAGTGTGTATCCTACATATTTTGCCCTGCCTTACTTGAGAGAAAGTCATGGAAGGATAATTGTCAATGCCTCAGTGGAAAGTTGGGTGGCAATGCCAAGAATGAGCCTATATGCTGTGAGAAACTATATATTTTCAGGCTATTTTATTTTAGGATCATTTACATGCTGACCACAAAATTCTTGTGTATTTACATATCTAATACCTGAACTTTAATATTTATATTCATAACACTCATATCTTTAACATCACATCAAAAATACCACATTTACTAACTTTTTAAAAGTCAAATGCACCTTTTTATGCATATGTTTATAACATCATTGTGTTATGAATGTAAATATCAAATTTAGGAGTTAGATATGTAAATCAATAAAAATTGTGGTATGCTTTTAAATATCCATTTATGCTATTACTCAAGGAAGAATTAAGGATGTCCTTACCTAAATTGTGTATGAATTTGTTTTTTAATTATATAATCATTAAATTTGCTTTTATATTGACGAATGAAGATTTTTTTTATTATGTTTTTTATTGTACTCATCTCAAAGCAAATTTGATGTGGATAAAATCCATCCATTTAACCATGGGGGATTTACATACATGCCAAACAATTTTTTGTATCTAATAACTGAACTTTGATATCAACTTTTCTAGCATTTTAGTACAACAATTGTATCAATTTATATTCATAAAAAGTTGCATTTTCCCTTTAGAAGTTTAAGGAAAATTTACATACATACCTATGAATTTACATATTTAACGCCTAAAGTTTACTTTTGCATACATTACCATCTTACACATTTCTCTGTAAAAGTTTAAAAGTTAAAATGGTGGTGTTTGTTAAAATGGTGGTGTTTTTTATGTGATATAAAAGATTTGGGCGGTATAAATGTAAAAAGGTTCAATTTAAGTGTTTGATATGTAAAACATAGGAATTGGGCAGCATGTATGTAAACATCAAAGTTTAGCTATTAGATATGTAAATTGATAATAACTGTGTGATATTTACATAAATCCCCTTGTATTTACCTTTTTTCGTTTATCTTTAAATGCGGATGTTACACAGGCAGCGAAGGCAGCAGTAATAAACTTTTATGAGACATTAAGGCTTGAGTTGAAGGATGATGTTGGAATCACCATTGCAACGCATGGTTGGATCTGTAGAGAAATGAACCAAACCAAGTTTATGTTCGAGGAAGGCGCAGACATGCAGTGGAAGGAAGATAGAGAGGTATTTCTATTTTCTCATGCATACTTTCTACTGCGAAGTTAATTTTTTTAAATTTAATTTTCTGCTACCATTGTTCAATTTTCATTAGTTCAGTACTTTCTATTATTTTTTAGTTGTGGCATATATATACATACCACCCAATTCCTATGTATTTTCGTTTATAACACTTAAACTTTACTTTTTACATTTATACCACCCAATTTTTTTAATGTCACATAACAAATACCACCTTTTTAACCTCTAAGAAGTGAAATACACATTGTCTTGCATAGAAAAGATGGTGTATGCGTAAAAATTGTAGTTTAGGTGTTATATATGTAAATAAATTGAAATTCAGTGGTACTTATGTAAATCTTCCTTTAAATAAAAAGTTTGATTTTTACATTTCTAACACCAAAAATTTTCTATCACTTAAAAAAAATACCACTATTTTAACTACTAAAAAGTTAAATACACATTTTCATGCATAAGCAATTTGTTATATATCTAGAAATTGAAGCCTGGGCGTTATATATGTAAATACATCAGAATTCAGTGGTATGTTTGTAAAGCTTCCATAAATTTAAAACGCGTCCTGATCCATAATTTTTAATTGTGTAAACATTTTTCGTATAATTAGTGGATGACATCATGAATGAATTTTTTTTTTCTCAAAAAGGGGACATTTACATAAATACCACCCAATTTCTAAGTATTCACATATCTAAGACACCTAAAAGTGGTGTTTGGCAGCACCTTTGAATAGGATTTATCACCAGATTTATGCAAGAGTTACGCGGATTTATTAATTTTCGGATTTAAGGGCCGAAATTTTACCTTAGATTCGGCTTAAATCCAGATTTACTAAATTTAGGGGAAGGTGAATTCAACGGACTTATAATTTTCAGATTTAGTAAATCCTATTGCCGCCGAAATTTTTAATTCACATAAAAAATACCATCATTTTAACTTTAAATAGTGAAATACACCCGTTCAAGGCAGGGGCTGAACTGGCAGGTCCACTTGGGCCGATTCAGCCAATCTATGGTGTCTTTATATTTGTGTTCATTTTTGAATTTCAGCAATAACATTTACATTCTATTGTGGTTGGGTTAACTCCGGTTTCAATAGATAAGATAGCATGCATATAAAATTTGAAGTTTAGGTCTTAGATGTGTAAATGCATAGGAAATTAATGTTATGTATGTAAATCTTACCAAAAGAAAAAATTATCTTATGATGCTTAGCTGCCAATTTATGGAGCCCATGTGGAAGAATTTGCAAAGATGATTGTTGATGGGGCCTGCAGAGGTGAAGCATATGTGAAGTACCCAACCTGGTCTGATGCTTTGTTTCTGTACAAAGTGCTCACTCCTGATGTTCTTCGCTGGACCTTTCGCTTGCTATTCGCCGGCAGAAGCGGCCGGAAAGGTTATATCTCAGGCAACAATGGAGCTAGTCGGCCGCTCCTCGAAGCTCCGCTTGCCCGGAAGGACACTCCTCCACCGTCAGCTCCGGCTTCGCCGAATCGCCGATGAGAGGTCAAATAAAGGTTTGATTCTCTGATTGAATTGCTCTGCTGAGCAATTCTTTGGTTTATCTGTAGCAGATGGTGGTCTGGTTGATATGGACCTTTTCAAGTTAGGTTGAACCACATCTATGGCTTAATAAAACTCATTAGATATATGTATATATATATAGAGATTGGGGATATATGAGGGATTGTAGAGCTAATGCTTTGGGTATAAATGTTGTGATTATTTGTGTTATCTGCTGCCTTTGTTCTTCCTAGTGATGAGTTGCTGATAGGCTAACATTTCACGATAAACAGTCATGTGGTGATAACATGCGTAATGAAATGTTAAATTTTAATATTAAACAGTATGTCAAATAATTTATGTTTATTTTGTACATGTAATATTTTAAAAACATAGGGATTATATATATATATATATATATATATATTGTCTATTAGTCTGATGAACAGATATAATTATTTATAAATTTTCAATCATAAATATTATTATTATTATTCTCATATTTGTAAGATTAAGATTTTTTTTCTTTAATGCTTATTTAATTTTTATGACAAGTATATGTTATTTTAAAATTTAATATATATATTTATATATATTGCAATGCCATGTCAAAAATATTGTCCGTCTTATATTTTTAAAAATGGATATATCTCGTGTCTGCAGTCTGGTGCAACTTAAGTTGCTAATTAATCTTTATTTTTTTATTTGAAACCTTGAAATTGTTTAATTAATGAATATTAACTTTTGATTAGGATTAAAAAATAATAATAATCCTAATCTTAATTTCTAGCATTTTATGTATTTCTTTTTTAGAAATATATCAAATAATTTATATAAATAATGCGTGGTAAGATAATTTTGTGTGCTTAGAAGTATTCTTGATATATAAAATGAAATATAAATAGTATAACATTCTATTCTCTCCATCGTTTCATAACTTGGTATTTTCTTGGATAAGTTTCAATTCCATGCAAGTGGCTGCTCAACTTCAACTATTTTTCATATCATGCGATAATTTCAGGAGACTACTCGAAACATTTGAAGGAAAATATTTACTTTTTTTGGGAAATTGAGACATATATACCACACAACTTATGTATTTATAAATCTAACCCTCAACTTTTGATACTTAAAGTAATAACATCTTGATATTATAAACAGCTCAGTTCACCAGCCAGCTATCGAGTGGAGCTCAAACGGGTTTCTGCTGCACATAATAAAGATCAACCAGGAATGAGAAAGCAGAGGAGGCTCAGACTCTTCCAACTAGCCGTTAAAAGCAATGCAATAAATTCAATAAAATAGATCCTTTGTTCAAATACATGATGCTAGATTTTATAAAAACCTTTTTTTCATTTGTTTATTCGTTTCATAATAAATGTCTCTACAACATCCTACACAATAAACACATCCACGCGGAAGGAACATTTACATAAATACTACTCAGTTCCTATATATTTACATTCATAAAACCTAAACTTCAACTTATACATATATGACGACTTCTCTATGCATGAAAAAATATATTTCACATTTTTTAAAATTAAAAAGGATGGCATTTTTGATGTCATTAAAAAGAATTGGGTGGTATAAATGTACAATGAGAAGTGTGTTTAGAGATGTAAATTCTAAATACATAAGAATTGGGTGGTATTTATGTAAAAAAGATTACAACATTCTTATAGAACTTAAGCCGTCCGAATTCATCAAAATTTTTTATCTCCTATTGAGGTCTCAAGCCACGTAGTACTTTGTTCGCCGCTACTGTACACTTGAATGATTTTGATAGAATTTTGAAAAGACCATCCGGGTTGTCTGCATGTACCTGTAAAAGCATGAACCGAGTGAGATTGTTCAGTGGAAGTGCATGCAGGCACAAAGGGCGGAAGAAAAATTATGTGCATCGCGAAATGGCAAATAATTATATTACATGAGAGAAAAGTGTTAAAATGGTTAATAGTGTTGAGGTGTAGAGCATGGAAGAGTAGGGGTGTAAACGAGCCAAGCTTGTATTCGGCTCGTTCATATTTCGAGCTCAAAAAATGTGTTCGTGTTCGTGTTCGGCTCGTTTGCTTAGCAAGCCGAACACGAGCCGTTCACGAACAAAGAGTCATTTTGACAACCCTAATCACATAGTCATAAGATGTTAAGAATTGAAGCAAGATTTAAAATATCATTTGAATCTAATTTAATAATTTTTATTATATTTTTTTATTAATACTTTTAATTGATTATAAATCTTTGTAGTCTTATAGTCAATTAAATTTTTTAAAAATACTACTTGTCAAAGATATATATATATATATATATAGATATATATATAAATATATATAAATTATATATATATAATTGATTAGCAGTATTTCGAGCCAAAACGAGCCGAACACGAACGAACAAAAATTTATTCGTGTTGTTCGTGTTTGGCTCGTTAACTTAGCGAACGAGCCGAACAAGAGCTTCTTAACGAGCCGAGCACGAATTGTTCACGAACAATGAGCCGTTTTGACAGTTCTATGGAAGAGCACCCACGGCCAGACAAGCAGCAGAGACATTTCATGAGCGGCGCACCAGTGCCTGTAGACATAGTGCGGCGCACTAGCGCTGGGGTCTGCAGTGCCCCGTGCAGTCTATGGGGCGCCTATGCACCCGGTTACAGTCTTACAGAGCGCATAACATTCCCGAGGCAAAGAGTGCCGCGGGCGAGAGCGCCAGATGCAGTTACTCCCGTTTTGGCTTAAAACCTCCATTCTGGCGATGAAGGATGATTCGCTCTCTCTGGTGTGGCATTGTCAATGGGTTTCTCTTGAAGAAGGAAATCGTTGAGGAGAAGTTTAGCTTGTATCTTCTTTTGTGAGGTCGAGAAGAAGGCTTCGAACGAAGTCTTATAAGTTATATTCATTGTAGAGAAGAGATCTGGGTTAGTTTTCTATATATTTCTAAATTTCATAGTAAAAATTTTTTAGTGGCGCGACTTCATGGTTTTACCCTATTTTTAGATTTTTCTATGTTAAATCTAGGTGCATTTTTTTGGATTGTGTTTTGTCGTGCTTCCATTCGAATATTTTATTCCGATTTTTTTGAAAAAGAGTGATCCTATTCTGCTATATTGTTTTGATTTCTAATTGGATTGAAGCCCTAATAGAAGTATATAAGTCTTCCATCCCTACATCTTGACTCCTTCAGGGATCCATTTTAGTAAGAGAATCTATAATATATAAAATAGTCCCTAGACTCTTTCAATATAGTTTGAAATAATTCCTAAAAAAAATTATAAGGCGTAAAAATGTAAAATTAAGTCACGTTTGAATGAGCTTATTTGTCGTTCGCCTTTGCTTGTTAAACAAGCCTAAATTTTGTGCACGTGTTTAGCTAGTTGATCTGAACTAGCTGTTTAAAATGAAGTCTATTTAAAGGTATTGTAGGCCAACGGTCAAACAAAATTATGTTTAAATTTAAATTAGTACATAAACAAGCTTATAAAAACGAGCAGAATTCAAGTTAATTATCAAGATGAAAACGATTCAACATGAACGTTGAGCTTTTTTTTGACAGCCAGAGTTAGAAATCATATTTTTAAAAAGGGCCATTTACATAAATACCACCCCATTCCTATGTATTTACATAACCTAACATATAAATTTTGCCTTTTACATTTATACCACTCAAATCTTTTGTATCGCATAAAAAAAAGACCACCATTTTAATTTCTCAAAAATTAATTTTATCTTTTTCATGCATAGACAAGGTGGCATATATGTAAAAAAATAAAAGTTTTCAATGCATAATATAGATACATAGGAATTGAGTGGTATGAAGGCAAATTTTCCTTTAAAAAAATCAAGAAGTATATTAAATTTGTCATTTGATTGGATTTAGCTAGACCCTAACATTAAATTCTGAGTCCACAAGCCTATTCCCATTGGAAATAGATGAAAACAAAGTCATCACTTCCAGAAATAAATTCCATCTACATTAAACCCAAATGAGCCATAAGATATTACTTTTCCATGAAAACAACATTTATAAGCTCTAGGAACTCTGGAATCAGAGCAAGGCAGGCAGGTTCAACTAGCATAAAAAAGGTAGGAAGATTTATACACATACCACTCATATCTAAAGGATTTACATATCTAACACCTGAACTTCAATTTTTACATATATCCCACCTTACCTATGCACGCAAATGTGTATTTACTTTTTCAAAAGTTCAAATAGTGGCATATTTTATGTGATATAAAAGATTTAGGTGGTGTGAATGTAAAAAGTAAAGTTTAGGTGCAAGATATGTAAATACATAAAAATTGGGTTGTATGTATGGGTTGTATGTATGTAAATGCCCAAAAAAAAAAAAGGAAATTTACATACATACCACACCATTCTTATGTATTTGCATATCTAACACCCAAAGTTTAATATCCACCTGTATGACACCAGTGTTAAAAACATATGCATAAAAATGTGTATTTTGCTTTTAAGAAGTTATTAAGAATGATATTTTTTATGTAATGTTATAAATTTGTGATGTATGTATGTAAATATGAAAGTTTAGACGCTAGATGTGTCAAATATAAAAATTGAGTGATATGTATGCAAATACCTCTTAAAAAAAAAAAAAAACTTTAATAGAGAACTCACCCAGTGGCCAGCATCTTCAAGAACATGCATCTGGACTCCAGCTCCCTCATCTGAAGCCAGCTCCTCTGCAGCATGAATCCTCTGTAGATCTTCGAGGGCCCATCTATGTAAGCTTCGTTCGGCTTTTAAGAAGTTCATGTGGACGCCACGAGGAACATTTTCAACAATACCCCTGTATATAAAAATATTGTTTTAATAAATATTCATTGAACAAACAGGAAAATGCAGTGCTGCAATTTGATTTGAATCGTAAGGGGTTAAGTACCAAATATTTGTCGTCTCGTATGATGTGTACATGTCAGCAATTCCATTGAGATCGAAGTTCCATGAAAACCCTAAAGGTCTTGAATTTGAATTGCCAATGGGTCGGAGGTTTGTCGCCACCCACTACAACAACAGCGCAACCAAAGGATATGACATTTTAAAGGGGCTTTTACATACAAACTATCCAATTCTTAATTATTTAAATATCTAATAGCTAAAATTTGATTGTTTCATTTATATCACCTAAATCCTTCCTATCACATATAAAATATCACTATTTTAAAATGAACCTTTTCATGCATACTTACAGTAGCAGATGTGTAAAAATTAAAGTTCAAGTATTAGATATGTAAATACACAAGAATTGAGTTTTATGCATGTAAATCTTCCTGTTTTAAATGTAAAGAAAGGGGTCATTTTGCTTTTTTTTTTTAATTGCAACAATAGATGGCATGCTTTTCCAATGTTATGCAATTGACAATACTACAGTTTAAATACATCAGAAAGTTAGAATTTTAAATTTTCGTGTTGAATTTCAAGAATAGTGTTGCATACTTTTATTGATAGGAAGAGAGGTATAAATACATATTACAAGATTCAAATAAAAGAAATACATAAATTAAAAAATAGACCAATTAGAAAACTCAGAGATATTGAAACAAAAAATAAAAGAAACAAATAAAATATAATAAAAGCTAATAATAAGTGCAATAATAATAAGCCTAATAATTATAATACTCCCCATCAAGTTGAAACATAGATATCTATCATGTTCATCTTGGATTTGAAGTCATCAAACAATGACCGATAAAGATTCTTGGTAAGGATATCTGCTAATTGACAATTATAGGAGACAAATAGAATATAAATCTCATTTGAATCGAACTTCTCCTTAAAGAAGTACCTATTAATATCCACATGCTTCGTTCGATCATGTCAGAAAGGATTATGGGCAATATTAATGACTGTTTTATTATCACAGAACAACTAGAGAGGAGTAGAGACTTACATACGCAATTCACAGAGCATGGTGAGTAACTATAGAGCTTCACAGATACCTAAGTACATGGAGCGAAACTTGGCTTCAACACTGCTTTGGGCCAAAACAAACTATTTTTTGCTTTTCATTGTGACAAGATTTCCCAACATGAATAAGCAATATCCTGAGGTGAATTGCTTATCATAAAGACACCTGGCCTCATCCGCATTTGTATAAATAGCAATAGAACGACAGGTGTGTTGAAAATATGGAAACTAGTCCACTTTGCTCCTATTGACAAGTTTGACATCTATGGAAGTTATTTGAATTGCTCTTAATTAATTCCTTAAATGGGCCTTAAAATTGGATTGAATTAAGGAACGCCACCTGCTATTTATATGCTTCTTCGGCTGAAACTTTGTGTGGATTATACAAACGGGATATAGAATAATAACGAGGTGGTTGTTCCGTAAACTGCTGCTTCTTCCTCTATTCTTCGACCTGCAACTTCTCTCCATTTTCCTTTGATCTTCTGTCATGGGACTCTCGGGTAGAGAGAGAAAGGAGAATAGAGAGAGAGAGCGAGTTTTTTTTTTTGTAAAATCATCGATGCGATCGACAAGTGTAAGTCCTCAAAGAAATAAAATCTTTTGCAACTCCGTGGACATAGGCAATTTGCTGAACCACGTAAATTTGTGCTCTTCTCTGTTTTGCGAATTTCTCGTTCAAATTTTTCCTTTTATTGCCGTCGTTTTTTCACAACAACTAATATCAGAAACTTGATTCGGATTTGAGGAAAAATGATGACAAGAAGCTAATTAAAATCTGTTGGATCGACAGGTTCTGAGGGTTATTCGATTAATCTTGTCGAGATCCGTTGCCCACAACGTTATCAAGGAAATGACTATTGCATATCTCATGATAGATTTATCTAGTATGTATGAAAAGTCATCGGCGAATAACAATGTGCAACTGATGAAAATTTTATTCAATTTGAAGATGATAGAAAGTACATTTGTTGCACAATATCTGAATGATTTTAATACTATCACAAATCAATTGTCGTCTGTTGAAATTAAATTTGATGATGAGATATGTACGCTCATATTGTTGGTTTCGATTTGGATGACAATTAAATTAAACAGCTGGGAAGCCATGAGGATGACAATTAGCAATTTTACAGAGAAATCTAAGCTGAAATATGATGATATTCGTGATTTGATTTTGGCTGAGGAAGTGCGTAGGAAAAATTTTGGCGAGACATCGGGTTCAAATTCAACACTGAATATTGATTCCAGATGGAGATTACAAGAGAAAAACTCAAACAAAAGAATATCAAAATCAAAGCACAAAGCCAAGAGCAAGTCAAAGCCTAGTCAGTAGACAACTTGCTGGAATTGTGGTCGTACTAACCACATAAAAAAAAAAAACTACAAAAATTCGAAAACGGAGAATAATAGCGTTAATGTTGCAACTAACGAAGCACAGGATAAACTATTGCTGACAGTTCACAGTTTTGTTGATGACTTGATAATGGATTCATAGGTTTCGTTCCATATATATTCCCACCATGAGTTAATGTAAAACTATGTTACAGGTGACTTTGTGAAGATATATTTGGCTGATGGAGAAGCTCTGGACGTGGTGGGATGAGAAACTTTAATATTGCACTCCCTAACTAGAGCAAATGATCTTTGCAAAATGCATACACATTCATGAGTTGAAGAAAAACCTCATTTTTGTTAAGCAGTTCAATGAGGGTGGTCATTCAGTAGTGTTCTAAGATAGCACCTGGAAAATTATCAAAAAATCATTAGTATTAGCTTTGGGTAAAAAAACTGACACACGATATATGACTACAGGTTTACTCAACACTGTTGCTACTACAGTTGCAGAGAGCACGATAGATTTCTGGCATTACAGGCTTGTTCACATGAGTCAGAGGGGTTTGAAAGAACTTTAGTCAAGAGACAAGCTACCATAACTGAAGTCAATTGATCTCAGCATGTGTGAGAGTTGCATTATGGAGAAGTAGAAGAATGTCAATTTCTTGAAAAGTGACAGAGCGTCAAAAACATGAAAACTAGATGTTGTACATGCAGATGTGTAGAGCCCTTCTCCAGTGACATCTCTTGGAGTCTCTTGTTACTATGTCACGTTCCTTAATGACCACATCAGAAATGTGTTGACTTTAATTCTTGAAGTATAAATCAGATGTATTTAATATGTTCAAAACTTGAAAAGTCATGGTTGAGACAGAGACAAACTTAAAACTGAAATGTTTGAGGTCTGATAATGGTGGTAAGTATATTGATGGTGGGTTCAAAGAGTATTATGTAGCTCAGAAAATCATAACGAAGAATATCATTCCTGGGACACCACAGAAAAATGGTGTTGTTGAGCGCATGAACAGAGTCATTAATGAGCGGGCTAGAAGCATCAGATTGCACGCCAGACTACCACCAACTTTCTGGTAGGAAACGTTCAACACTACAGTTTACCTGATCAACAGGAGGTCATTTGTTCCATTAGACTGTAAATTGTCTGAGGAAGTTTGAAGTGGGAAAGAGGTCAAATTTTCTCACCTTAAGATTTTTTGCTCTCTCTTATGTTTTTATTAAGCTCGAGGCTAAGTCAAATAAATTTTATTTTATTGGCTATAGAGATGAGACATTTGATTATCGTTTTTTTGATGATCAGGACCGGAAGATCATAAGAAACAAAAATGTCATTTTCAATGAGAATATCATGTACAAGGACAAGTCCAACACAATTTCTGAAGTGGCTTCTCAGGAATCCGAGATGGTAAGGATTAATGATCTACCATAGGTAACAGTGCAGTGCAGTGCAGTGATAGAAGTGATGAGGAGAGTGGGTCTGGAGCATCCATTCCTATTGTTCCGCAGTCAGGTTCAGAGTCGTTAACCCTTACAACTACAGTTTGCAGGTCAGTCAGGAATAGACATTTCCCTCAGCGTTACTCACCGACCTTGAACTACATTTTGTTGATAGATGGTGAAGAACCGCTGAGTTATGAAGAAATCTTGCAAGAAAATAAAATCTTATATAACTCCGTGGATGTAGACAATTTGCTGAAACACGTAAATATGTGTTCTTCTTTGTTTTGCGAATTTCTCATTTTTGTTTCATTGTCGTTGTTTTTTCACAACAAGGTGTGGCGAGAAAAAATAAACCTGAGCCTGGAGTGCCTTTTAAGTAGTAAATGGTCTCGTTGATAGCTCAGAGATGGTGCTAATAGAGATCATATATGAATTGACTCACAATACCTACTACGTGACAAATATTGAGGAGAGTATGGGTGAGTAAAATGAGTTTTTCCACAAGCCGTTGGTAGCGAGTCTTGTTTGCCGAAAATGCATTGGAAGCATTAGCTAATTTCTCATTGGGATCACTACTGGTTTGTAAAAAGGAGAAGGTTATTCTTTGTGAATAAATTAAGCACACATTTGCACTGAGAAAAGCAAATGTCCCGGGATGACCGAACAACTTTCATGCCTAAGAAGTATCCTTCATTTCAAAACGAAGTAACAAGAATAACTTTCAGAGATTCCAATGCTGGTACATTAGGTACAATATCGTCAATATAGACGATAAGGATAACAATTTTTCTACCGTAGAAATGTCAAAAGAAGAGAGTATGATCTGAATGAGCTCATGAAAAACCATGACCAATTATCACCTTTGTGAACTTACCGAATCAAGCCCTTGAAGATTGCTTCAGTCCGTAGAGAGACTTCCACAGTCGACAGGCTTGTCCCCAAAGAATAGTAGAGTCAAATCCTGGTGGGAGGCACATGTACACATCTTCGGTGAGATTCCCATTTAAGAAAGCACTTTTAACATTCAGTTGGAGTAAAGGTCATTCCAAATTTATAACAAGGGAAAGTAGGTCCCGTATAGTGTTTAATTTAGTAACTGAAGCAAATGTCTCCTCATAATTAACTTCGTATGTTTGTGAGTAGCCTTTGGCGACTAATCGTGCATTGTTGCTTTCAAAGGATCCATCGGGACTTAAACTTGGTGCTAAAAATCCAGCGACACCTTCTGCTTTCTTAAATATAGGAAGATCCACAACATCTCATGTATGATTCAGCTGAAGGACATTTATTTCATCAATTACAACAACTTTCCAGGAAAGGTTAACTGATACCGCTTTAATAGTGGATGGTAGTTGAAGATCCGCCAGGGGAGCACAAAACGTTTTATAGGTCGGCAATACATTGTGAAAAGAGATATTTTTTCATTAAATAAAGATAGCTTGCCTAATTACACACCTCAACAGGAGAACTCGCCCCATCATTCGGAGTAGTGTCAAGTATAGACATGAAGAATGGGAGGAGGTTTTAGTTGTTTGGATCTAGAGGGACAAAGTGCTCCTCAAATATAATGGTAGAAGAAATACCCACAGGAGTGGATAAGGAATATTGTCCAAGAAATCATGCACTTACATAGAGTTTATTTGTGGTATGATCAAGACACAGATAGCCTTTTTAAGTAACAGAATATCCTAAGAAGATATTTTATAAACCCGGGATCAAGCTTTCTATGATTAAAGGTAGTGTTCCAAACAAAGGTCGTGCACCTAAAAATTTTGGGTCTAAAGGTGTTGAAGAACCGATTGGTAGGGAAACATGACATCAAAATGACTAATGAAATTTTAAAGTTGTGAATCTTTGGAGGAATTCTATTAATAAGATAAGCAGTAGTAAACAAGACATTATTCCAAACACTTTTTGAGATATTAGATTGATACATAATGGAGCGAGTTACTTATTTGGTTGAAGAGGTCCGTACATGAGCTATGATGGAGGATGCGCTTACTTACCAAGAACTCGCCTAAAATAGAATAAAAAAATTCATGATCATAGTCGATTAGAAGGAAATGAATTGAAGTTTTGAATTAGGTGAAAATAGAGTGAAAGTTATTAAAATTGACAGAAGCTTCAGATTTATCTTTTAAGATATAGATCCACTTCGTTCAAATGTTTTATCAATTACGGTAAAGAGCCACCGTTTATTAGTATAGCTGAGAGTGTGACAAGGTCTCTATAAGTCATTGTGAATAAGAGTAAAGGGGGTAGAAGGCGTGTAAAAATGAAATGTACAAGGAATGCGATGATGCTTAACTAATTGAAAAATCTCATATTAGAAGTTAGCAAAATTTTCATTAGTAAACATCGACAAATACAATTATTTTAAATACTGAAAACTGGGAAGACCCAAACAATAATATAACATTATAGAACGTTCAGTGGATTGAGAAAAACTATAACTAGTGGGAGAAGTGTCCATGTTTTTCGCGTCTTTCTTTTGGAAGAAGTAGAGCCGAACTACTCTTTTAGAAGTCGCAATCATTCTCCCCAAACGATGATCTTGAAAGACAAACATTAAGAGAAAAATTAGCAATGCAATATGTCATGTGTTAGTTTACAAACAAATAATAGGTAATACTTAAACATAGGGACATGTAACATAGATTTCAAAGTTAAATCAGTGGTGTTACTGATTACTTACGAGCAATAAAATTACAGGAGTCGTCAACAATTTTAATTGTCTTTCTCAGAGCATGGATAATATGTTGAGAAAGCTTGAGAGCATCCAGTCATGTGGTACATCGCACTTGAATCAATCATCTATGGACTAGAAAAAGAAGTGAGTGTCATATAAGTGATACCTTGACGAACATGTGAGGTGGATAAGTCGGAAATGAACTGATTGAATCCGAACAACTTGATTAATTGCTCCATCCGACTTTGAAGAGACTCAAGTGATTCTAGAGTGTGTTCCAAGTGGGAGATGGTTGTATCGTATTAGATTCAGATGTCATAGTGAGACTCTTAGCAGAGAATGACTTGGCTGAAGATTTGTATGTCGGTTTCCTATAAAGATTTCAACACTTTTCTCGAGTATAGTTGGGTTTGTGACAGTAATCGCAAGTGGATCGAATGCCTCGAGGACTGTTTAATGAGTGGTGTATACTATGAGTGGCCAAGGCAGATGATTCAACTAAAGTCGCAGCGACGAGCATGACAATTTCTGTGAAAGCAACACGAGCAGAAGGGAATCCAGACCAAGGATACGACCCCCGACTTCATCAATGTTTTTGTTAAGGCCAGTCAGAAATTAGACCATGTGATCTTTTTTCTACATTTTTCTGAAAGAGGGAAATATCTGTAAGAGATTTCCATGTGTAATCATAATAGAGATCACATTCCATCTATAAAACCACAAAATTATTGTAATACTAGGTCACAATTCTCGACCCTATTTTTCCTAGTAGATCTTTTTGAAAACCTAATAAAGTTGGCTGGAGTTCCCTAGATTTAAATAGGTATCACGAACTTCAGTCCATAAGGCACTAACAAAAACTTGAAACACATACGATCAACCAATTTTTAGTCTCCATAGAGTTAAGAAGCCACGACATGAGGGTATAGGGTTTAGTGTAAAATTCTCCACTTCTCACATTTCATACGTCGGGTCAGTTTTAGGAGGTTCACGAATCATTTCGGTGAGATAGTCGTATTTCCCGCGTCCATTTATGAACAAAGACACGGCTTAGGACCATTGGAAAAAACTAGATCGGTTCAGTTCATGGGTAATGAAGAGGAAGTTCATGTGGTTTTCCGAACCTCCGATCTGCAAAAAGATTAAGATCAGTGTCAACCCTCCGACAGACTCAAACACACCGTCGGAAGAAGGCTTGTTGGTGGAAGAGTTTGTCATTATTCCAACAGAACCAAATGTTATGTTGGGTTGCGCGGACATAGAAAGATCTTAGAGAAAACAACGAGGAAGAAAGCAACAAGTGTGTCAAAGCAAGCAACAGCAGGTGCAACAAAGCAAGCAACAGCAGGTGCAGCAAGAAATGCGACAAGACAAGCAATAGCAGGAGCAAGCTATAGGAGATAGGAACATTGATCCATTGAGGAAATACACGGTTGTCTATGGCCCAAAGGTAGTAAGGATCAAGCAAGTGCAATTGATCAAGTTGCTAGGGCAGTATCGCAGTTTGGGAAAGCAGTCGTGATATGAGCAGTCCTGGTGCGGGAAAGCGAAGGGAAAACTGTGTCCTGATTCGACAAAGCAGTTGCAGCAGACAAGCCATAACATCGTAAAACGATCACTTGGATGTGCAAGTAACGCGGTAAAACAACCACAACAGATGAGGCCTGACGGCTAGGGTAGAGGAACTAGGTATAGAACCATGGCTCTGATATCATGTTGAATTTAGAGTATAGGTTGCATACTTTTATTGAGAGGAATAGATGTATAAATACATATTACAAGATCCAAATAAAGGAAAGACATAGATTCAATAGATCAACTAGGAAATAGATAAATATGGAAACAAAATTAAAGGAAACAAATAAAATCAAATAAAAGTTAATAATAACTGCAATAGAAATTAGCCCAATAATTTTAATATTATGTTTTTTTTTTTTATTTCATGTTGAAATTCTCAAATAGTTGTTAGATTTTATTAACAAGTGGTCTTAAATTGTTTTATTAATAAGTGCTTTTAAATTAGTATGACGTTTTTCTTTAAAGACACTTGTTAGCTAAATAGGTAGATTTTAATTTATGCACCTTCATTTTTAAATAATATTAGTTGCACTGAAAAATTCTAATCCTGAGTAGCCTTTGCATCATTTCGTAATGGTATTTTTATAAACAAAAGATTACCGGATAATCAAATGAATGAAATGATACTTGAGGAATAGGTGAGTGTTCTTCCTTTATCTAAGTTGTATACATAGAATTTTCCTCTTAATCGCCTCCCTTTCATCCTCCCACCTCCATCACTCAACACGAGCAATGCAGGCTTAGATATGAGTGAGTAATGAAAAAGGATTCAAAATAAAAATCCTTAGTAGTTCATATTAGGCTAATTTAGGCACTGACAAACAATACAGTGATGATTATGAAGATTTATTGTTAAAAAAGTAAAGCGAAAAAATAGTCATCCGACTATTTACATGGTACCAATCTCTATAAAAGTGTCAAAATAGTCCCATAATCCTTAAATTGGGACTGAAATAGTGCTTTGTGCAGCCCATTTTAAAAAAGTATGGGGACAAAATCAACACTTTATAGACTCTGGAACTGAACCACCTATTAAGAGTCCGGGGACTATTTTGACACTTTTTTCATTATTTATGTAATAGTTTACTTCAACAAAAAGGCCCTAAAAAATAGTATGAAAAACAGAGATTGAAATTTCCTAAAGATAGAGAACCATAGGGCATAAAAATTCTGTATTGTTGCTTCGATGGGAATATAGATAGGAAAATTAGTCGTTACCATCAATTATTGAGTATGCTTTCAATTACCTGTGCAACATCTCTAGAGAATCCCTGTTGAACAATAGCAGACACAACTTCCTGCTTTGAAGAGATCTGTAAAAACGAAAAACTAACATAACCAAACGATACCACCATTGAATTAAAATACAATTTTAAAACAGCTATCACAATTAGTTGAGAATGCACTTAACAATTTCCTTGTGCAGAAAAAAGGATATAAGACTCCAATTCATGCTAAACAACCAGAATCTTTTAGCATAAATATAGAACAGAGTAATAAGTGTTGACTATAAAATTAAAAATAAGAAGGAAGAAGAAAAAGAGGGGAAAGGAAAATAATTAATTAAAACATTACCTTCTCCCGCTACGAGTGCTCACGCTTCGTTTCAACAACTGTTCGCCCCATTCCAGTTACAAACTGCAACGAAAACAGAAAAGCAAGGCTTTCCCCTCTTTTTGGCCCGAACCAAGCTAGTTTTTACCTTTCTCCCATTATGTCCTCTCATCATTCCCGTCTCCTCTCTCGTTCGAAGCACTCACACGTCTCCCATCATTCCTTCCTCTGTGCACTCAAGCCTCCGCCTTCTTCCTCTTCGTTTGTCTTTTATCGCAACAAGCCGCAAAGGACACCTCGCATCTCTTCGCTTCGTCTTCTTCCTCCAGTTCAAAAGCTGCATGCAAAACCAAAGCCCTCCCCACTTATTCTTCGGGATCAAAACAAACGACATAAGCACTCACATCCTTCACTGTTCTTCCTCCCTTTCCTCACAAGAAATTGCCCTAGCATTACGCCGTTCCATCCAGAGCCCTACAAGCTGAAGCTTCTTTTGTTACTTCTTGACCAGTCTGCCAAAGCCTTCGTGCTTGTTTGTTTCCCAACTTCAATCCTTCCCGTGTGTTTTCCCTGTGTCGAAACTCTCTGAAACCGGAATTAACTCCAACCACAATAGAAAAACAGATTTTATTACTAAAAAAATAACAAGGTTACAAACATGACTCAAAAATAGGAAAGGAAATACAACACCACAAATCTCTGACTAGGGCGAGATCAGACGACCGATGGATGGCGAGAGGGATGGGAGGAGTGGTGGTTGGTTGGAAGGGAACGGGCTGGTATGCAATGGGAACTTGGAAAGGGGATTAGGAGGGCGACAGTACAGGAGACTGTAAGGTGGCGCTAGTGTTGTGAGGGTTGGACGGGCTGATGGTAATAACGGGATAGGTAGGAGAATGTTATAGTGACTTTAGGGAGGGGAGGGGGGCGGTTTGCTGGGATGAAATAATCAGCGGCTGGAAGTGGAGAGGTTGGGTACTTACAGCTCGGATCACGGAAAGGAGGGGGGTTGTCAAGTGGGTGTCGGCCGTTTTTTAACTTTTTATTTTTCGTGATTTGAAAAAGTGAATGATTTTGTGATTTTGAAAATAATTTAAATATAAATATAACCTTTTTTTTATTTTTTAAATGTAACATTTTAATTTTAAAATAGGTGAGACCAAGCGGGTCTCACATTTAAAAAGTTTAGATGATTGAATATAATATTACAGGTAATACACTTATCCCGACGAATAAATATATCACTTGTAATAGGGATTCAATCACCTAGACTAAAGAATTTGTGACATTCATATTGGTCTGCAAAATATTTTTATATG